TCGTCCTTGCTGTCAGATCAGACTCCCACCTCCACTCCCCCATGTACTTCTTCCTCTGCAACCTGTCCTTGCCTGATGTTGGTTTCACCTCCACCACGGTTCCCAAGATGATTGTGGACATCCACACTCACAGCACAGCCATCTCCTATGTGGGCTGCCGGACACAGATGTCTCTCTCTGTTATCTGTGGATGCATGGATGCTTTGCTTCTGACCGTGATGGCCTATGACTGGTTAGTCGCCATCTGCCACCCCCTGCATTACCAGGCCATCATGAATCTCAGCCGCTGTGGCTTCTTAGTTTTGGTGTCCTTTGGGGCCAGCCTTTTGTATTCCCTGCTGCAGAACTTGATGGTCTTAAGGGATTCCTGCTCAAGAAACTGGAAATTTCTAATTTCTTCTGTGAGCCTACTCAGCTTCTTAGCCTCACTCCCTCTGACTCCTTCACCAATGATGTATTCAGATATCTTGTTGGCATCATCTATGGTTTTCTCCCTATCACAGGGATCCTCCTCTCTTACTATAACGTTGTGTCCTCCATTCTAAGAATCCCCTCAGCAAGTGGGAAGTACAAAGCCTTCTCTACCTGTGGCTCTCATGTCAGTCGTTTGCTTATATTATGGAACAGGCCTTAGAGTCTATCTCAGTTCTACTTTCTCACTTTCTCCGGGGGAGGGTGCCTGGGCTTCAGTGGTGTACACTCTGGTCATCCCCATGCTCAACCCCTTTATCTACAGCCTGAGGAACAGGGACTTGAAGAGAGCCATACAGAAGCTCCTCAGCAACACAGCCTATTTTCTGTCCTTGTGCCATGGGTTTGGACTGCAGGTTGAAAAAGGAAGCAAAACTAAGCATCTGGAAGTAGAAGTCTCACTTCTAACCACATGATGTATGAGGCTCTCGTCTCTCTAAATTTTGTGTCTGAATATTGCTTCTTTTGCCATTTTGAATGGAGAGTATTACAGATTTTTTATACATCTTAACCATTGCATGACTGAATCCTACTTTACCTCTGCAGAACCCTCTGTGGTTTATTATTGATGATCCAGGAATCCTGGTCAAATGAACAACCCTTTATGCATTTTTGAAGCTTATGTCTTTTCCATAAATCTTCTGCACGTTTCATCACATTTTGATCCTATGTAACTTATTTGTGCTGGTTTTCAGTGTGGACCCCTATCACTGCTCCTTTTTTAGGGAACCACCAGGGTTCTGTGTCCTGCCACCAGAGATTCTGATTTTTTCAATTTCTGTGAAGACTGAAGTGAGATTTATTTGGAAGGCAGACATACACACACATTGTGGGGCAGGATGGTTAGAGAAAGAGAGGGAGATCTTTTATCTACTTGTTTACTCCCCAAAAGGCTGCAATGGCCAGAACTGGGCCAGCCCTAAGCCAGGTTCAGGAGCTTCTTCTAGGTCACCCCCATGAGTGGCAGGGGCCTAGGCACTTGAGGCATCCTCCTTTGCTTTCCCAGGTGCATTAGCATAGAGCTGGAACAGAAGTGGAGCAGCCAGGATTTGAACTGGCATCCATATGGGATGCCAGGGCTGCCGGCAGCAGCTTAACCCACTTTGCCACAACTCCAGCCCTTGGCGAGAATTATTAAGGTACCCTAGAGATATTCTGAAAAGTCTGTAGTGTTTTAGGAGCTTCATTGTATGTGATAAGTCAATTCTCCTTTGCTGCTTTCAGGATTTCTTTTTTTTCTGCAACATGGATATTTTGATTATCATTTGGCTTAGTGTTAGTTCTTTGGATTTATTTTAGTTGGAGTTAACTGAGCTTTTATAATGTGTATATGGACTTCCTTCTTGAAATGTAGGAAGCTCCAAATAGGAGTCACTGTTTCTTAAAAATGGCTCTCTACCATACTCCATTTCTTTATTCTTATTGTGTAATTTCAATAAGGCATATGGAATATAGGGCATATCTCCTTATGGTATCCCATATATCCCTCTAGTGTTATTCACTTTTCTTCATTATTTTTCTTTTGCTCCTGTGACTAGATAATTTCAAATAAAAAAAATCTGAATCTAAACACGAAAATATTGATTACTGGAGGTTGGGAGTCATGGAATAAGTGAACGTGTTTGGGATGAAAAGATAGGGGAAAAGGCCAGCATTGTGGCACAGTGAGTAAAGCTGCTGCCTGCAACAATGGCATCCCACATGGGTGCCAGTTTCAGCCTTGGCTGCTCCGCTTCCAGTCCAGCCCCCTCCTAATGCACCTGGGAAAGCAGTGGAGGTGGGCCCAAGTGCTTGGGCCCCAGTGCCCGTATGGGAGATCTGAAAAAAGCTACTGAATCCTGGCTTTGGCCTGTCCCAGCTCCAGCCATTGCAGCCATTTGGGAAGCCAACCAGTGAATGGAAGCTCTCTCTCTCTTTCTGTCTCTCTCTTTTTGTTCCTCTTTCTGTTAACTCTTTCAAATAAATAAATAAATAGTCTTTATAATAATTGGGGAAGATGGGTGTAGTTAACTGTAACAAAGATATTACTATGTGATGTAATAGGGGACATAGGATGAGGGGTATATGTGGACTCTGTTTTACTACCTCACAAATTTTTGTATATTTAAAACTATTCTGACACAAAGTGTTAAAAAATGATGATATAACTGTTAGTAAATAAATTATTGGAAAAGTCCAAAAGTTCACTGATTCTTTTTTGTACCTGAACATTCTATAGAATGTTCCAATTTAGTTCTTATATTATTTATCCCCAAAATTTATTTTTTTTTACAGTTTGTTACCTTTATTTTCATTTATTCCTTTTTTTTCTGGTTGCACAGTTGTACTCTTTGTGTCATCTTTTAGCTAGCTGACAATCTTTGAGATGATTATTTTGAATTTGTTGTTTAAAAATCAAATACTTCCAATCTTTATTTTTTAAAAAGATTTTATTTATTTGACAAGTAGAATTACAGACAGTGAGAGAGAGAGAGGTCTTCCTTCCGTTGGTTCATTCCCCACATGGCTGCAATGGCTGGAGCTGCACCGATCTGAAGCCAGGAGACAGGTGCTTATTTCCTTGTCTCCCATGCAGGTGCAGGGGCCCAAGCACTTGGGCCATCTTCTACTGTTATCCAAGGCCACAGCTGAGAGCTGGATCGGAAGAGGGGCAACTGGGACTAGAACCGGCACCCTTATGGGATGCCAGTGCCATAGGCAGAGGATTAACCTAGGGCGCCATGATGCCGGCCCTTCTCCATATCTTTAAAGAGGGTTTAGTAACTTATTTCTGCTGAAGCATTTGTTCCTTTGGGTCATATTTCCCAGTTTCTATGCATTCCTTTTGTTCTCTGGTTAGATGTGATCATTGGGGAAAACTTCTTCCCCCAAGTTTTCTGGACTGGATTCATATGGGGAAAGACCTTCACGGAGATTGTTGGGGACTCTCAAACCTTTGCTGGGAGGCATCTTCTCTGGGCTGTGTGTGAGTTTATAGTTGTTGTCAAGAGCACATCTTCATCTCTGCCTGGTGTCTTGCTTCTGGTACTGAAGTTCCTCTGGGAGGATAACTAGGTGTTTCCATAGGTCTCAGTGGCTCCTAATCTGGTACCCATAGGCCACTGCCATTTCCATTAGAACTCCAAGTCAGGCAAGGTATAATGCGCTTCCTCAGGTAGCCCCTGAGAGGACAACACATCTTCTCTTTCCCTTCCAAGACAGATGCTAGGAGTTGGGGTGTTTCTGCTTATCCTGAGATGGTGTTTCTGGCACTGGCAGGGCCTTGGCTGACAAACACAAAGAATGCTGCCATTCACCATGAGGTAGCTCCTTTTGGCTTTATGCTCCTCTGGGCTTGATGTAAAGCCTTAACCGGCTTGTGGAGCTCTTACAGAGAATTTGGTTCAGGGATATTGTTAAGTCAGGACTCTGTGGGTGAAATGAAGACCTTGGACTGACTTCCTATTCCTTTGTCTTAATGATATCACCATGGCCAGCATCATATTTTATTAACCACTAATGAATTGATGACACTCATTAAAAATATAAAGAAAATACATTCTGGAGCAAAATGAACACTACATGATGCACAAAAATCATACATTACTGGAATCACTTGTGAACTTTGCTGCAAAATGGCTACAGCCTGTTTTGATGTTGGGAGATTCTGGTGGATAAAGAGAAACCAGGATCTCCTCTTTGGACTAGTTGGCTGTGGATAGATACATCATGAATCAGTATGAGTGGAAAATCTATCAATACAAACACAGAGACAGTATCCTGCAGGAGAATCTGAGAGCATGACAATTTGATGGGGGTTCAGCTGAAAGGTAGCCCGGTCATTGCATAACCTTATTGTGTACAGATGTTAACACTTAAAGTGTTCAAGATCACATAAGTGTAAATATCAGCCTGTGCTTTTAGACATTTAGAATTCTGCACCCAGGGGTGGGCATTTAGCACAGCATTGCCTGAATCCTGCAGTGTAGCAGGTAAAAGCCACTGCCTGCAGTGCTGGCATCCCATATGTGAGCTGGTTTGAGTTCTGGCTATTCCACTTCTGATCCAGCTCTCTGCTATGGCCTGGGAAAGCAGTAGAAGATGGCCCAAGTGCTTGGACCCCTGCACCCGCATGAGAGACCCAGAAAAAGCTCTAGGCTCCTGACTTTGGATTGAGGCAGCTCCGGCCCTTGTAGACATCTGGGGAGGAACTGGTGGATGGAAGACCTCTCTCTTTTTTTTTTCTCTCTGCCTCTGCCTCTCTATAACTTTGCCTTTTGAATAAACAAATAAATCTTTTAAAAAATTGTATTGCACCAAAATTTTTCTCTTTAGTTCAATTGTTCTAAGAACATTAGAGTAAAATCATGTGATATACACATAACTGGTTGAACTGAAATATGTGCCTGTGCTGATTGCCTGTTTGTGTGCTTCCTTTTACCAACTTTTTTTTAGTAGGATTCCAGGGTACATTGAAACACAAAATATCACACATGTCACAGAATTCCATCTCATGGGCTTTTCAGAGATCCAGCACTGCAGCCCTTCCTCTTTGTGCTGGTCCTGTCCATGTATCTGGTCATGGTGCTCAGGAACCTGCTCATCACCCTGGTCATCATCTCAGACTCCCACCTCCACACACCCATGTACTTCTTCCTCTGCAACCTCTCCTTTGCTGATGTGGGTTTCACCTCCACCACGGTTCCCAAGATGATTGTGGACATCCACACTCACAGCACAGTCATTTCCTACATGGGCTGCCTGACACAGATGTCTCTCTTTATTATCTTTGGGTGCATGGATTATTTGCTTCTGACAGTGATGGCTTATGACTGGTTTGATGCCATCTGTCACCCCCTGCATTTCCAGGTAATCATGAACCCCTGCCACTGTGGCTTCTTAGTTTCAGTGTCTTTTGTGTTCAGCCTTTTGGATTCCCTGCTGCACAGTTTGATGGTCTTGCAAGTTACCTGCTTCAAGGATGTTGAAATTTCTAATTTCATCTGTGACCCTTCTCAACTTCTCAGTCTTGCCTGCTCTGACTCCTTCACCAATGACATAGTCAGGTATCTTTTTGGCATCATATATGGTTTTTTCCCGATCTCAGGGATCCTCTTCTCTTACTATAAAATTGTTTCTTCCATTCTGAGAGTCCCATCACCAGGTGGGAGGTAAAGAGCCTTCTCCACCTGTGGCTCTCACCTGTCAGTCATTTGCTTATTTTATGGAACAGCCATTGGGATGTATTTCAGTTCAGCTTTCTCAGTGTCTCCTGGAAAGGGTGCCTTGGCCTCAGTGGTATACACTCTGGTCTCCCACATGCTCAACTCTTTTATCTACAGCCTGAGGAACAGGGACATCAAGAGGGCCCTGTGGAGGCTCCTCAGAAAAACAGGCTCACCTCAGTCCTTGTGCCACGCGTCTGGACTCTTGGTGGGAACTGCAGCAAAATGAAGCATCTAGACCTACAAATCTCACTTTTCTCCATACTTGATGTGTGAGGCTGGTGCTCTCCAGATTTTGTGTCTGGTTATTGTTTCTTTTGGTCTTTTTAATGAGGCATATTTTAGATTTTTATACATTTTTCATACATAACCAGAGGCTGGGAGGTATCAAGCAATAAAATGGTTTTACATAAAAAATAAAAGAAGCTGGGTGTGGATCAATAATTGTGACAAAGTGGCCGGCGCTGCAGCTCACTAGGCTAATCCTCCCCCTTGCGGCGCCGTCACACCGGGTTCTAGTCCCAGTCGGGGTGTCAGATTCTGTCCTGGTTGCCCCACTTCCAGGCCAGCTCTCTGCTGTGGCCAGGGAGTGCAGTGGAGGATGGCCCAAGTGCTTCGGCCCTTCACCGCATGGGAGACCAGGATAAGCACCTAGCTCCTGCCATCAGATCAGACTTAGAAGACAGAGCACAGGAAAGCATACAGTCAAACCAAAGAAAAGAAGAGGAAATTAGAAATCTAAAAAATATTGTTGGGAATCTAGAGGATAGTATTAAAAAACCCAACATTCGGGTTCTAGGAGTTCCTGAAGGCACGGAGAGAGAGAAAGGATTAGAAGGCCTTTTTATTGAGATACTAGCAGAGAACTTTCTGGGTTTGGAGAAGGGCAGAGACATCCTAGTACAGGGAGGTCATAGAACCACTAGTAAACATGACCAAAAGAGATCCTCACCATGACATGTTGTAATTAAACTTACCATAGTGAAACATAAAGAAAAGTTCCTAAATTGTGCAAGAGAGAAATGTCAGATTACTTTCAAAGGATCTCCAATTATACTCACAGAAGACTTCTCATCAGAAACCCTACAGGCTAGGAGGGAATGGCAAGACATAGCCCACGTGCTAAGAAAGAAAAACTGCCAGCCCAGAATATTATATCCTGCAAAGCTTCATTTATGAATGAAGGTGAAATAAAGACCTTTCATAGCAAACAGAAATTGAAAGAATTTGTCGCCACTCGTCTGGCCCTGCAAAAGATGCTTAAAGATGTGTTACACTTGGAAACACAGAAACATGGCCATCAATATGAAAGAAGGTAAAGAAAGAAAACCTACCAGTAAAAGATCATAGGAAACTCAAAGCATATACTATAAAATATCTTTGGGAAAATGGCAGGGCAGGTCACTACTTATCAATAGTCACATTGAACGTTAATGGACTCAAATCTACAATAATAGGCACAGACTGGCTGAATGGATTAAGGAACAAAACCCATCTATTTGCTGCCTACAAGAAACACATCTTTCCAACAAAGATGCATGCAGACTGAAAGTGAAAGGTTCGAAAAAGATATGCCATGCCAACTGACCCCCCCAAAAAAGCAGGTGTAGCCATATTAATATCAGACAAAATAAACTTCAACACAAAAACTGTTAAGAGAAACAAAGAGGGGTACTATATAATGATTAAGGGTTCAATTCAACAGGAAGATGTAACTATTATAAATGTATATGCACCTAATTACAGGGCACTGGTTTATTTAAAAGATATGTTAAGGGACTTAAAGGGAGACTTAGATTCCAATACAATAGTAGTGGGGGACTTCAATACTCCACTCTCAGAAATAGACAGATCATCCAGACAGAAGTTCAACAAGGAAACAGCAGATTTAATCGACACTATTGCCCAAATGGATCTAACAGATACCTACAGAACTTTCAATCCTACATCTAAAGATTTTACATTCTTCTCAGCAGTGGATGGAAATTTCTCTAGGATTGACCACATACTAGGCCATAAAGCAAGTCTCAGCAAATTTAAAAGAATTAGAATCATACCATGCAGCTTCTGGGACCACAGTGGAATGAAGGTGGAAATTAGGAACTCAGGAATCCCTAGAGAGTATGCAAACACATGGAGACTGAACAACATACTCCTGAATGAATAATGGGTCATAGAAGAAATCAAAAGAGAACTCAAACACTTTCTGGAAGTAAATGAGGATAACAGCACAACATACCAAAACTTATGGGACGTAGCAAAAACTGTGTTGAGAGGCAAGTTTATAGCAATAGGTGCCTACATCAAGAAATTGGAAAGGCACCAAATAAATGAGCTTTCAATTCATCTCAAGGATCTAGAAAAACTGCAGCAAACCAGACCCAAATCTAGTAGGAGAAGAGAAATATTTAAAATCAGAGAAGAAATCAACAGGATTTAATCCAAAAAAAAAAAAAACCTAGTAAAAATCAGCCAAGTGAAGAGCTGGTTTTTTGAAAAAATGAATAAAATTGACACACCATTGGCTCAACTAACTAAAAACAGAAAAGACCAAAATCAATAAAATCTGAGATGAAAAAGGAAATAGTAACAACAGACACCACAGAAATAAAAAGAATCATCAGAAATTACTACAAAGAGTTTTATGCCAGCAAACAGGAAAATCTATCAGAAATGGATAGATGCCTCGACACCTGCAATCTACCTAAATTGAACCAGAAAGACATAGAAAACCTAAATAGACCCATAACTGAGACAGAAATTGAAAAAGTAATAAAGGCCCTCCCAACAAAGAAAAGCCCAGGACCAGATGGATTCATTGCTGAATTCTACCAGACATTTAAAGAAGAAGTAACTCCATTTCTTCTCAAACTATTCAGAACAATGTAAAAAGATGGAATCCTCCCAAATTCTTTCTATGAAGCCAGCATCACCTTAATCCCTAAGCCAGAGAAAGATGCAGCACTGAAAGAGAATTACAGACCAATATCCCTGATGAACATAGACACAAAAATCCTCAATAAAATTATTGCCAATAGAATACAACAACACATCACAAAAATCATCCACCCAGACCAAGTGGGATTTATCCCTGGTATGCAGGGATGGTTCAATATTCACAAATCAATCAATGTGATACACCACAGTAATAGACGGCCGAAGAAAAAACATATGATTATCTCAATAGATGCAGAGAAAGAATTCGATAAAATTCAACACCCTTTCATGATGAAAACTCTAAGTAAACTGGATATAAAAGGAACATTCCTCAATACTATCAAAGCAATTTATGAAAAACCCACGGCCAGCATCCTATTGAATGGGGAAAAGTTGGAAGCATTTCCACTGAGATCTGGCACCAGACAGGGATGCCCACTCTCACCGCTGCTATTCAACATAGTTCTGGAGTTTTAGCCAGAGCCATCAGGCAAGAAAAAGAAATTAAAGGAATACAAATTGAGAAGGAAGAAGTCAAACTATCCCTCTTTGCAGATGATATGATTCTTTATTTAGGGGATCCAAAGAACTCTACTAAGAGACTATTGGAACTCATAGAAGATTTTGGCAAAGTAGCAGGATATAAAATCAATGCACAAAAATCAACAGCCTTTGTATACACAGAAAATGCCACAGCTGAGAAAGAACTTCTAAGATCAATCCCATTCACAATAGCTACAAAAACAATCAAATACCTTGGAATAAACTTAACCAAAAGTGGGGAGCAACTCGGACTAGACTAAGTTACTGGAATTAAGACTTATTCTATGCATCTGCTCTCCCACCATATGGCGCTGAAAGGGAGCAAACAACTTCTACACAGCTGCCTCCAGTTCGACCAATAACCTGCAGGAGCTGATCCTGATCCTGATTGGAGGAGAGCAGCGTACTCGGCATGTGGGTAGCAGAATTGGGATTGGTGGAAGAGGACTGTAAAGGAGGAGAGAGACAACATGCACCAGGAACATCCAGATAACATCTGAGCAGCCCCCGAGAGAGCTGGCTGGCTGGTGGTGTCCCTCCCCCCGGAAGTGGGGAAAGTGGCAGGGGGAGCCACCCTTCCACGGAGGTGGAAGGATCAGCAGCCAACCTGGGAAGGACCAGCAGCAAACCCGGGAAGGGCCGAGCAGACCAAAGAACAGTGCAGGGTCTAGTGTTGTTCCTCCGTGAAGAGGGGGCGCGACAACCAAGGATGTTAAAGATCTCTATGATGAGAATTACAAAATCTTAAATTAAGAAATAGAAGAAGATACCAAAAAATGGAAAAATCTTCCATGCTCATGGATTGGAAGAATCAACATTATCAAAATGTCCATTCTCCCAAAAGCCATTTATAGATGCAATGCAATACCAATCAAGATACCAAAGACATTCTTCTCAGATCTGGAAAAAATGATGCTGAAATTCATATGGAGAAACAGGAGACCTCGAATAGCTAAAGCAATCTAGTACAACAAAAACAAAGCCGGAGGCATCACAATACCAGATTTCAGGACATACTACAGGGCAGTTGCAATCAAAACAGAATGGTTTTCATACATGGTTCTGGTACAGAAACAGATGGATAGACCAATGGAACAGAATTGAAACACCAGAAATCAACCCAAACATCTACAGTCATCTATATTTGATCAAGGATCTAAAACCTTTTCCTGGAGTAAGGACAGTGTACTCAATAAATGGTGCTGGGAAAACTGGATTTCCACATGCAGAAGCATGAAGCAAGACTCTACCTTACACGTTACACAAAAATCCACTCAACATGGATTAAAGACCGAAATCTATGACCCGACACCATCAAATTATTAGAGAACATTGGAGAAACCCTTCAAGATGTTGGCACCAGGAAAGAATTCCTGGAAAAGACCCGGGAGGCACAGGCAGTCAAAGCCAAAATTAACTATTGGGATTGCATCAAATTGAGAAGTTTCTGTACTTCAAAAGAAACAGTCAGGAGAGTGAAGATACAACTGACAGAATGGGAAAAAATATTTGCAAACTATGCAACAGATAAAGCGTTGATAACCAGAATCTACAAAGAGATCAAGAAACTCCACAACAACAAAATAAACATCCCACTTAAGAGATGGGCCAAGGACCTCAATAGACATTTTTCAAAAGAGGAAATCCAAATGGCCAACAGACAAATGAAAAAATGTTCAGGATCACTAGCAATCAGGGAAATGCAAATCAAAACCACAATGAGGTTTCACCTCACCCCAGTTAGAATGGCTGACATTCAGAAATCTAAAAACAACAGATGCTGGGGAGGATGTGGGGAAAAGGGACACTAACCCACTGTTGGTGGGAATGCAAACTGGTCAAGCCACTATGGAAGTCAGTCTGGAGATGCCTCAGAAACCTGAATATAACCCTACCGTTAAACCCAGCCATCCCACTCCTTGGAATTTACCCAAAGGAAATTCAATTGGCAAACAAAGAAGCTGTCTGCACCTTAA